CTCATATATGATTTCATGAACAAAATTATTTTTATATATAAATTGAGATAGAATTACTTTGTCAATTATTATAAATTTCTAATAATATTTCTTATTCTCTAAGCTTGTTAATTATTCTAATATTTTTTTTTCATTTTTCATAATTAAACTAATAGACATATTAATATTTATAAGTTCAGAAGTATTTCTTCTTATAACTTTCAGCAACAAATATTTCTCTAGACTTATTATATTTACTATATTGAGAATATACAGAAAGATTTAATTATTTTTCTCTAATATAATTATCATAAGCAGTTGTCTTTTCTCTATTTATTTTAAAATATATCCTAATATAATATTTATCTATATATTTTTCATATTCTTGGTATCTTTCAATTTGAGAGTTGGAATGAATTTATTATGAAATAGTTTGATATAAATCAAAGCTTTATTTTATTCTTTTGTTGATAAAGAGTTCTTGTTCAACTTTATCAGCCTAATCTTTATTTATCTTGAATTTAATATAGAAAAATTTATGAATTTTAATTATTATCTAGTTAGCAAGATCATTATAGCATCAGTGATATTAGTTATAATCTTCTAGTTATATAATATAATATATCTAGATAATTCATATAAAAAAGTCAGGATATAATGTTATATTTGAAATAGAATTTATATAGAAAACTAAATTAAAAGCAGACATGAAATTATGTTTTAAACTTATTCTTTATTCAATATTAATAATATTTAAAATTACAAAACAGATACAGTATCTTTAAATAATAAATTAATATTATATAAAATTAATAATATAATAAATAGAAATTAATAATAAATAATACTTATATAGTAGTATCTCCAGAAGATGCTTATTAATGAATAAATAAAGAAATAAATAATTATAAATAAGAAATATAAAATAAGTAACTTACTAACTATATTACTAGAATAAGAAAAAAAAGAAATTCTACTAAGAAATTATCTATAACTAAAATAACTTAATTATATTATATAATTTTTCTTGATATAATCAGATAATTGTGATATAATAAGTCATATGTGATATAATATATAACATGATAATAATCTGTAAAATAAAATATAAATCTAATATAATTATTCTAATTTGTTATAATACTTCTTTTTTTAAGAATTAATATTCTCATTAATATTTTGATTCAAAAGATTTTACAAGTTTCATAGTATTATGAAGATTTTTCAAGAGTTTTCAAGTAGAATTATGAAAAAAGTAACCTAGCCATTTAACTAAGTATTAAGATTTATTTTGAATAATTCTTTTATTTAAGATTGCTTCTACTTCATATTCTTCTTTATTAGTTTTAGATATAATAATTAGTTGTGATGATAATGGATGAATAAAATCTTTATTATCATTAGAGTTATAAGACTTTAGCAATGAAATATGAGAAATAGTATGAATTTTTATATGTAAAAGTAAATCTAATTTATATATAACAGATGAAATAACTTCAAGAATAAAGAAAGAACTAATATATTTAAGTGTAAGCTTTTTATTAGGGTATTATTTATTCATGAGATTAATAATATTATAAGTTAAAAATAAGACTTGATCTCTAATTTTAAATTCTTGAAAATGATGATATTGATTAGCATATTTAGATTAATAATCCTATATTTTTATTAATAAATCTTTAGTATTTTTTATTATATTATTCTAATATTGAATGAATTTATTAGTAATAGTAACTTTATTATCTGAAATAAGTGTTGCAAATATAATTAAATATTGATTATAATTTAATTTAAAAGATATATGATTAGAAGAAGCTTGAATAAAATTATTATATGTGAATTCAGTAGCAGTAAGATATTTATCCTAGTGATTTTGATTCTAAGTGAAATAGATTTGTAATATTTCTTTCAAAATATGATTCATTCTCTCAGTTTGTCTATCAATTTGTAAGTAAAATACAATTGACATAGCTAATTTAGTTCCAATTTATTCAAATAGTAATTTTCAAAAATGACTAGTAAATTTAACATCATGTTCTGAAATTATAATATAAGATAGTCCATATAATTTAAATATATTATTGAAGAATAGCTTGACAACTTTAGAGACAGTGATAATATTATAAGTAGGAATAAAATGAGTATATTTAGTGAGGTAATCAACAATAATCAAGATAGCATTATAACCTTGTTAAGTAGTTAACAGTTGTATAATAAAATTCATAATAATTTGTTCTCAGTACTATTCAGATATTTTTAAGAGTTATAAAAGATCTGAGAGTGACTGATTACTACTTTTATTTCTTTGGTATTCTTCACAAATAAGATTATATTTATAAATATTCTTGGATATTTTTGATTAATAATATAATCTTTGTAAATACTCATAAGTTTTATCAATTCCTAAATGACCAGAGATAGAGATATCATAATATTTTTCTAAAATTTGAGTTCTCAAAGTTTTATTCTTTGGAATAGCTGATTGATTAGTATTCTTCAAGTAAATTTTATTATTTCTTAATTCAAAATAATATATTCTTGCTTATTACTTTGATATAGATGCTTTAAAATTATGTAAAATTATCCAGATTTTCTTGAAATAATTATTATTTTTATATTCTTATTATAATTTTTCATTATTAATAAGTTATATAAAAATTATAGTAATATTATTCACTTGTGATGAATGAGACAAAGCATCAGCTACTATATTTTCCTTTTCTAATTTATATTTAATAATAAAATCATTAGCTTACAAAATTTCTAGTCAATAAACTTGATATTTAGAAAGATTATGTTATATTTTGATATATTTAAGAGATGTATAATCTGTAATGATAGTAAATCATTATTCTTTCAAGTATAATTTCCAAAAATAAAGAGCATATATAATAGTAAGAAGCTTCTTTTTATATATTAGATAGTTTTATTTAGCTGAAGATAGTTTATGTAATTTATAGGTAACAGATTAATTTTTTTTTCCATAATTTTAACTAAGAACAGCTTCTATAGTAAATTCAAATATATTAGTTATAATTGTGAAAGATAGTTTAGGATCTGGCAAGATTAAGATAGATATAGTGATTAAATACTATTTTAAATTATCAAATACTTTTTATTTAGGCTCATTCCAAATGTATTCTTGATCTTTATGAAGTAAAACTATAAGTGATAAAGCTATTATAGAAAATTCTTTTACAAATTTCTTGTAGTAACTAAGAATTACTAAAATTTAAAGATATTAGTTGATTGAAACTAGTCATATATAATGGTAATTTTATATTAATTAACTGATATTTCTTAATTCAAAATAAAATGATCTATGTATTTGATATATTATTTGAAGAATTCATATTTTTTTAATTTAGCATAAAATTTATATTCACAAAATTTAGAAAGAATAATATGAAGATATTAGAGATATTCTTTCTTAGTATTACTAAATATGAGAATATTATTAAGATAGATAATAACAAATTTATCCAAATAGTCACAAAAAATATTATTCATAAGAGTTATAAAAGTTATAAGTGTATTAATAAGACCAAAGGAAAGTATAAGAAATTTATAGTGACCATATCTTATTCTGAATGCTATTTTATGAATATCTTCCTTCTTGATTCTGATTTGATAATATCCAGAGTAGAGATCCAATTTAGAAAAATATTATATTCTAGCTAAATGATCTATTAATTCATCAATATAAGATAAAGGATATCAGTTTTTAATTATAATTTTGTTTAAGATATGATAATCAATACAAAAATAAAGAGTTTCTTTCTTTTTATATATAAATAAGATAGATACTTCAAATAGCAAAAGACTTGAATAAATAAAATCTTTACTAAGTAAGTCAGATAATTATTTCTTCAGTTTATCTATTTCAATATAAAATAAGTAATATATAAGGTAAGATGATAATTCAGAGTTAGATATTAAATCAATAGTATAATCTATAGTATATTTTGATAATAACTTATTAGGAAGTAAAGTAAGAAATACATTAACAAATTCTTTAACTAGTTGGATAGCTTTACAAGAAGTTATTACTTCTTGATATATTTCTTTTATAGTAATACAGATTACAAATAATTCAGCATTAGATGGAAGTTTAGCAAATTATTATCAAGATATATAAAGTGAATTACAACTAATAGTGCAAATATTTCTCAGGGTAGTTACTACCTATGGCACTGCAGCTATGATGTAAGAAGATGGACTACCCTCAGACTATATTGATGTGATATAAGTGATATGACGTATGATATATAAATATATTGACATATATATGATTATATTTTATTTATACATTATTTTCAGATAAATTAATCATGTCTCAGATTTTATAAAAGTTTTTGTCATGGGCTATTTTTTAGGTAGTGATAAGCTAATTGTCAGATATTTAGTTCATTTTATTTATTATTTATTGTGATCCATTATTTTAATTTTCACATTCTAAAAAACTATTTAATATATCTTGTGAGTTGTAATCCAAATTGGCAGGAGAGATAGCTTGAACTGTTTTGACTGTTTCTGAGAAAGATTCTAAATTTCTTTGAGCTGTCAAGTCTATAATATCCTCAATTAGTAAGATTGTAGAATTATTGGATATTTTATTATCTAATGAATTTTCCTCGCTAACCCTTATTTAATTCTTATCATAACTCATAATAATAATATTACCAATTGACGCTACATTATATGCATCCTAAAAATCAACCTCTGTCAACTCTTTATCATAAAAACTTAGCTCATGTCAAATATTAGTCATATAATATGATCTAATTTTAGCTATTTCTTCTAACTTATTTAGGCTTAGACTTGTTCATCACTCTTTCAAAATCTATTTTAGTATCAAAAAATTCCTTTCACAAACTCGCTTATGTTGAATTTATTGAAAATATCTAATCAGCCAATTCAGCCAAATATCAAGGTTGATTCTTGAAGGAATTTCACCAAATCTTTGGAGTATCCATACCAGTAACATAGGGAAGATCAAATGAAGGTAATTGTGCTTCAAATTATTGTAATTGTGCAACTAATTCTTCACCTTTGGATTGAGTATGTCCAAGATTTTGCCAAAGCTCAAGAGAGGTAAGAGCTACTTTATGAAATCTGTTATCTTTTAAACCTTTTTCTAAGAAATTAATAAATTAAATAGTCTATTTTAAACTTTATTATATAGATTATTATGAAAATTTTTTCTTCTATATTCTGGATGAATATAATATGCTAAAATATAAAGCAGATGCAAAAATTTCTCATAATACCAATTGAAAATATGAATAGCTAGAAGTTTGAAGTTATTTACTTTAGGTAAATGATCAATTGATATGGCCAATTTGATCAAATAGATGAAATAATCAGCTAATATCACATTATTAGATTCTAACATATAAATAATTTCTTTGATAGATTACTACACTGAGCGCACAGACTGACAAATAGTAAAAAAGTCTTCATTAGAGATCAAATTACTGACTTCTTGATTGGTAATCAATTCATAGTGTTCAGAAAGTATCTAATAATAAAATTTGATTTTTATTAATAATATATAATATACAATCAATTTTTTTATTAATTTACTTACCCAGCCAAATACAGGATATGCATAAAGCATCAAATCAGTAGTCAAATATAATGATTTTCAATATATTTTCACTATATCTTTAGTCCATCCTCTTTAATCTTCATATTAACAAATTCTTTAATAAGTAATAAATAACTTGCATGAGAAGTTATGAAAAAATTATTGATTTTTTCATAATCATTAATTAATTTTTTGATGTTTTCTAATTCAACTAAATCAGCTACAATAAGATTGATAGCATGTGCTGCATATTAAATATTCTAAATATGTGAATATGTTTCTTGTATTTTTCAATATGTGATATTGCAATTTGAGGTGGCATCTGTTACAATAGCTACGAATTTGTCTGAACTAAGTTTCTCAATAATATTTGATATTCATTTACTAGAAATTCATCAGTATAAGATCAAATAGAATAATTCTTCAGACTGACCAGATATTCTTTTCGGATATCTGTTGTAATAATATAATTATAAATTGACTCTATTAATGGGGTCATCCAACTATCCAAAGCTTTATTATTAAATTATAAATAAAAAAATAAATTAATATAAATTTTGCTAAATAAATATACTTTTATAATACTAATCTAAAGTTAAATAATCTGCTTTATCTAAATCATTATTAATTCTTTTATTTACTCATGCTAATTCTTCATCTAGTAACTGATCTGATAAAGTTGTTCTTGAAGGTGAATTGTATACTGGGTTGAATTTTTTAAACATATCTCAAATAAATGGATTGTCAATAATATCAAAAGGAATTCCTGCTATTATTCAAGCTTTAATTATTTTTTGATCAAGGTGATTAATAATAGTCTTTGACAATGGATAATCTGACATGTAATGAAATATTATTGATATTTGTGATGCTGAGTTTGGTAAGTATAATTTGAATTTCTTTTGGCTACTTTTTCTCACCAATATTGTAATATATTATTTGGACAACTGACATATTCATTTGCTAGATGTGCTTCTAATTATGCTAGTTTTTCCCATGTCTATTTTTTTTGCAATAACTATAAGTAGTCTTATAGTATCCATTACTTTTTTCAATTTCTTTGACAAAATAATCCCATATTTCAGAAAATTGTCAGGATTTGAGTTTATTTCTCAAAGCATTATTATTAGAACTTGCTGAAAGTGTAGTTATTGAAATTTATGAGTTAAAAGTATCTGTTGTTGTAATATCTGTTATAATAATAATTGTCATTGCTATTGTTCTGCTATCTTCTTCAGTTTCTAAACCAAATTCTTCATTGTTTTCTTGAAAAAGTCTATGTCTTTTTCTTGAACTTCCTTCATCTGTTGCCATTACATGAGATGAAAAAAATTTGATTATCTGTTATACCTTATATATATATATTACTATATATGGCAACATTACTATATATATCTATGTCAAAGTGACATGATATTGTGATGTTTGATATAGAGATAGCTACCCTGTCCTTAAGAAATATCTGCACTATTAATTGCAACTAGATGTAAGTTTATCTTTACTAGTATTAATCTTGATTATTTTGTTACCATAGTAAAATATTATGAAATTATTATGCTAGTTAATAGTAAGATTAACATGATAAAGTCATAATTTACCAAGTATAAGATCATAATATTGAATATTAAGAACTTGAGTATTGATATTAGAGATGTGATATGTATTCAGTTTTAGTTCTTTAATTACTATAGATGAATTAACTTTCTTTTTATAATCATTAGTAAGTTCTATTATAATAGGATTCATAATATGAGTTTGTAATTAATTATTTTTCACATATACTTTATCAATAAAATTTTGTGATACTTTACTGTTAAGCAAAATTCAGGCAGACTTTTCATTAATATAACTATTAAATTTTAAAAGTTTCTTATAATTATTCTCAAGATAAGTAAATTTAATATTGTTATTGTGTTGTGTAGTAATTGTAATATTATTATTATTCTTGATATTGTTAACTTTAACTTTTCCTTTAGAATGATAACTCTTGGCAAAATAATCTGATTTGTTACAGTTATAATAATTATAATTATTATTATTTCTGTTATGAGTATTATTATTATTATTACTATTACTATTATAATTTGATTGATAAGAGTTCTCAGCATAATCTAGCTTTATGAGTGTATAATTAGTATTATTACAAGTATTGTTAAAAGAGAAGTTCTAATTTCTTTTATATTTTTAATTATAATTATAATTATCACTTTTAAAAGAATGATCAATATCAAAAATAGCTATATCATAATGAATTATAAGTTTCTAGATATTATCAAAAGTTTTTGATACTTAATATACTATTTCTATTTTTGTTGTAAATTTAAGATCATTAATAAAATATATAACTTAATCTAATTCTCCTATTTCTTCAATTTATTCTATAATATTTCTGAATTTAGCATCATACTCTTGTATAGTACTAGTTTGATAAAGTTAATAAAATTAATAATAAAGATATTATTGATAGTTAGATGATTAAAATACTTTACAAACTTCAATAAGAAAAGATTTCCAATTTTCAAAAGTAGAGTTTTCTTCAGTAGTACATACTTTATTTAAATATTAATGAAGAGTAGCATCTTCAAAATCAGTTTTAGTATATAGGATACAAGTTTATTTATCTGTAATTTCTTGTATGTATAATACTTTAGTTACTTATAAAATTCAGATATTAATATTCTTATGTGATTCTTTTTTATAAAGAGAAATTCTTAATACTAAAGAAATAGGATTATTTTATTGACTATTATCATTATTATTATTATTATCAATATTATCAAAAGCAGTTACAAGTTATTACTATTATTGAATAAGATTAGTAAAATTAGTAAGAAGTTATTGAAATTATTTACTTAAAAGATCAGGATCAGATATTATAGATATATTTATATATGTAAATATGTGTAGTATATATAGATAATAGAACTATATATATAATAGATGTATATATATATGTGTATATATATAGTATTAATTTTTTCTACTACTATTAAAGTTGTAATCTTCTAGTTACATAATATAATATATTCAGATAATTCACACAGAAAAGTCAGAATATAATATTATATTTGAGATAGAATTTATATAGAAAACTAAATCAAAAGCAGACAAGAAATT